GCAATTCTCCTGCCTCAGCCTCCTGAGTAGCTGGGATTACAGGCACGCGCCACCATGCCCAGCTAATTTTTTGTATTCTTAGTAGAGACGGGGGTTTCACCATGTTGACCAGGATGGTCTCGATCTCTTGACCTTGTGATCCACCCCCCTCTGCCTCCCAAAGTGCTGGGATTACAGGCGTGAGCCACCGCGCCCGGCCCTTTACACTTCTTAAATCGGTCTCAGCTTCTCAGTCCGAGCCCTTAAATTCCACCCCGTGGTTTCACGCTTGGTTAATCTGGGCATGCTCAGAGTATGTGACCTTCAACCTGGGAGTCCATGGCAACTGAAAAACAACTGACAACTTCATTACATAAAAGTCGGATTGAGGCCTGGAGCGGTGCCTCTTGCCTGTAATCCCAGCACTGTGGGAGGCTGAGGCGGGTGGTTCACTGGAGTTCAAGAACCTGAGGTAAGGAGAGACAATGTTTTGCCACCATGGTGAAACCCTGTCTCTACTAAAAATACAAAAATTAGCCGCGCGTGGTGGCGCATGCCTGTAATTCCAGCTACTCCGGAGACTGAGGCAGGAGAATCGTCTGAACCCGGGAGGCGGGGGTTGCAGTGAGCCGAGATCGCGCCACTGCACTCCAGCCTGACGCCTGGCCACAGAGCAAGACTCTGTCTCAAAAAAAAAAAAAGTTGAAGTAGATTTGGTCTGATGCAGTTACAGATTTTCAAGCCATGCCCCCAATGCCCTGCCTACACATTCCACTCCTCATTCATGAGGGAAGAGGGATGGAGGTCATGTTTCTGTATCTACTTCATGCTGACCAGGGGCACTGAGTCCCCTAAAGTTAGAGGAATGAAATTCTTAGGCTGCTGAGTTCAAATGAATTTTGGGGTCCCCTGGAGTTGCTGGAAGGGCTGGTATTGTTGTTGCAATACAAACTGAAGATGGAAGTGTTGGCGCCTGGAGGAAAAACAGCTTACCATCAGTTTAAATATGTAGGACTGAAAAGTAACAGGAGAGGCCGGGCGCTGTGGCTCATGCCTGTAATCCTGGCACTTTGGGAGACCGAGGCTGGCGGATCACCTGAGGTTGGGAGTTTGAGACCTGACCAACATGGAGAAACTATCTCTACTAAAAATATAAAATTAGCCGGGTGTGGTGGTGCATGTCTGTAATCCCAGTTACTCAGGAGGCTGAGGCAGGAGGAATGGAGTGAGTCCAGAAGGTGGAGGTCTCAGTGGGCTGAGATTGTGCCATTGCACTCCAGACTGGGCAACAAGAGCAAAACTCCGTCTGAAAAAAAAAAGGAAAAGTACCAGGGAACAATGGCCACGAGGGCCCCCAGCAGAGGAAGAAACCAGGTCAAGTGTGGTAGAGTGGACTCAACGGCCTTCTAAATCTCAGTGGTTGGCTGGGTGTGGTGGCTCATGCCTGTAATCCAGCACTTTGGGAGGCCGAGGCAGGCAGGTCACCTGAGCTCAGGAGTTTGAGACCACATGATGAAGCCCCATTTCTACTAAAAGTACAGAAATTAGCCGGACGTGGTGGTAGTGGTGGCCTGTGCTGTAGTCCCACCTACTTAGGAGGCTAAGGTAGGACAATTGCTTGAACCCAGGAGGCAGAGGTTGCAGGGAGCTGAGATTGCACCACTGCACTCCAGCCTGGGCGACAGAGTGAGACTTCATCTCTAAATAAATAAATCAATCTCAGTGGATGAACTACCCTTGATATGGTTTGTTTCTGTGTCCCCACCTAAATCTCATGTGAAATTGTAATTTCTGATATTGAGGGAGAAACCTGGTGGGAGGTGATTGGCTTGTGGGGGCCAACTTCCCCCTTGCTGTTCTTGTGATAGTGAGTGAGTGCTCATGGGATCTGGTTGTTTAAAAGTGTGTGGCCCCTCCCCCTTCACTCTCTCTCCTGCTCTACCATGGCAAGACGTGCCTGCTTCCCCTTTGCCTTCTGCCATGATTGTCCGTTTCCTGAGGCCTCCCTGGCCACGCTTCCTGTACAGTCCCAGAACTGTGAGTGGATCAAATCTCTTTTCTTCATAAATTACCCAGTTTCAGGTAGTTCTTTATTGCAGCATGAAAACAGATGAATGGACGCTTCTGGTTGAAGGAATGCAGCCATTCTGCTTGTTTGAATATTTCCTTTATATGAATGTCTATTTCCCAGGAGGTGTTTATCCAATTGCAATGGGAGGTATTGGTGACTGCACATACCCATCAGTGTTCTGCTAGTAAATAGTTTAAGGTTGATCAGCGATCTCCTCCTGTTTCAGTCTGGCCTGGACTGAAAAGGTAACTGGTAAAGGTATCAGTAAGCACCAGGAGGTATGGAAATCCTCCAGGAGCCGCAGGCATCACATTGAAGTCCATTTGCCAGTATTCTCTGGCACAGTTCTTCTGAATTGTACTGCCTTGGCCAAAAGAGATATGGGAGAGGCTGGACACAGTTACTCATGCCTGTAATCCCAGCCCTTTGAGAGGCCAGGGTCGGTGGATCATTTGAGGTCAGGGGTTTGATACCAGCCTGACCAACATGGTAAAACCCTGTCTTTATTAAAGTATAAAATTAGCTGGGTGTGGTGGTGCGTGTCTGTAATCCCAGCTATTCAGGAGGCTGAGGTGGGAGAATCCCTTGAGTACAGGAGGTGGAGTTTGCAGTGAGCTGAGATGCCACCACTGCATTCCAGACGGGAGAGGGAGAGGGAGAGAGAGAGAGAGAGAGAGAGAGAGAGAGAGAGAGAGAGAGAGAGAGAGAGAGAGAGAGAGAGAGAGAGACACACCCTGTCTCAAAAAAAAAAAAAAAAGAAGAAGAGATATAGGAGGTCTGGTTGGAGCATTGATATTCTGATGATAGACACAGTGGTCAGCCGCTTTATCTATTATATTGTTTCCTTTCATCATGGGGTGCTTATAATGCCGACGAGCAAGCTGTATCCCGCCGCCTTCCCGTACTGTAAGGAGTCATGGATGTCTTTTACAATAACCCAGTTCACATTTGCAGGCACTCATATCCCGCCTCTTCTATTTAGGGGCCACCTTATGGAACTCAGGTGATATCTATCTCCATTGGCTTTTAAAATCCCCCAGGCAGGGGCAGGTGCAGTGGCTCACACCTATAATCCCAGCACTTTGGGAGACTGAAGTGGGTGGATCACTCAAGGTCATGAGTTCAAGACCAGCCTGGCCAACATGGTGACACCCATCTTTACTAAAAATCCAAAAAATTATCTGGGTGTAGTGGCAGGCACCTGTAATCCCAGCTACTTGAGAGTTCCGGCAGGAGAAACACTTGAACTTGCGAGGCAGCCGTTGTAGTGAGCTAAGATTACCCCATCCCACTCCAGCCTGGGGAACAAGAGTGAAATTTTGTCTCAAAAGAGAAAAAAAAGAAAGAAAAAAGAAATTCCTCAGCGGAGTACCTCGCCTTATTTTATGAAGAGCTACTGAAGGAAGCAGAGACATTTGGAGGACTTCCCCACCCGGCAGCTGTCTTGGCCATGGCTGCTGAAATTTACTATTTCAGTCACCTTGGCAATGGACTGCAGTAACGTGTTTAGGCCTTTCCGCGGCCCAAATCAGTGCCAGTATTTCTGTTGCACATTTGATTCCATGTTATTTGCATTTAGAAGGCTCCATTTTTTTTTTTTTTTTGAGACAGAATTTTGCTCTTGTTGCCCAGGCTGGAATCCAATGGCACGATTGTGGTTCATGGCAACCTCCACCTCCCGGATTCTAGGGATTCTCCTGCCTAAGCCCCCCAAGTAGCTGGGCTGACAGGCATGTGCCATCATGCCTGGCTTATTTTGTATTTTTAGTAGAGATGGGGTTTCTCCACATTGGTCAGGCTGGTCTCAAACTCCCAACCTCAGGTGATCAGCCCTGCTCAGACTCCCAAAGTGCTGGGACTACAGGCATGAGGTCCCCTTTATTCCAGATCACCCCATGGGCATGGACCACAGAGATTGCATCTTGTGAGTCTGCAGAAGCAGTAAAGGCCTTGTCCTGTCTTAGATTCAGGGCTCGGGTTCATGCAGATTTTCCCGGCCCTCTGTGCTGAAGTCCCTGTGGGAGGCTCTGGGCTGGTTTCCTGTAGGTAGAGAACTTCATGTCCTGCCCTTCACTGGCCTCTTTTCATGAAGCTCCTGCCATCTACAGACCATGGCTTCCTTTTCTTCTTCAACCACATCTCTGTTATTAAAACTCTGGAAGTCAGCTGGGTGCCGTGGCTCATGCCTCTGATCCCAGCACTTTGGGAGGTCGAGGCAGACAGATCACTTAAGGTCTGAAGTTCGAGACCAGCCTGGCCAACATGGTAAAACCCTGTCTGTAATATTTACAAAAATTAGTCAGGCATACAGATGAGCGCTGATAGTCCCAGCTACTCCGGAGGCTGAGGCAGGATAATTGCTTGAACCCGGGAGGCAGAGGTTGCAGTAAGCTGAGATCACACCACTGTACTCCACCCTGGGCAAGAGAGCAAGACTCTGTCTCTACAAACCAAAACAAAACAAAACCCTAACTTGGGATTAGCCTTCTCTTCTAGTTTTGAAAAAAATATTAAGAGAAAAATAGATGTAGATGCTATGTTACCCAGGCTGGTCTTAAACCCCTGGCCTCAAGTGATCCTCCCTCCATAACCTCCAAAAGTGCTGGATTATAGGTGTGAGCACTGTTTCCAGACTTATGTTGTTTCTATATTTTAAAAAATACAGAATTATCTTCCAGAGCCAATAAATATGTTCAAATAACCAAAACCTCATTAAGGAAAAATGTCACTTGACAGCAAATAAGCAATCTGGAGCAATCTGATAGCACTCACTGTGAAGACGAGAAAACTTCGTGTTTATTAGGTTTCCCAAGAGATGCACTGCACTGTTCCCTTGAAAACACACAGCTCATGGCCTCCTTCAAAACACACATCCTCTTCAAGGTAATTTACAAACAGGTCAATAGAAGATAAAAATTACATCTGAATTCTCACATTTCAAATCATACACTAAACATAAAATCCAACTTTATTTTTACAAGAATTTAAGGGAACTACCACTTAGCTATACAGGTAATAGATATATTAAGTGAGTATCATAGATAAAAAGAGGGCTCGCGTCAGGAGCACATGTAATAACAGATAAAAAGCTTGACAGATAAAAGATTCAGGATAGAAGGAATCCTCTCTTAAAAAGGAAAACAAAATTATATTTATATATACGTAATGGCTATAACACCCATCACACAACTTTATAGAAACAACATCTATTCAAAAACAGTATTTCCAAACTCTTTAAATAAATGTAGTAATAATTCTATGCCAATCTTTTTCAAAATAAACCAATAAAATGTATAGTATATATTAAACATATTACATTATATCTAAGACATGGTAAAAATCACCACTGAATTCTCACAATTCAGTAACAAACACTAAACAGGAAATAAAAATTTCTATTAGAAGATTTACAGGAACTACCACATAGCTATAAATATAATAGATTATTATGTAAGTATCATAGATAAAGAGTGCTTGCTTCAGGAGCACATATCATAATAGATAAAACAATTTAATAAAAGATTTAGGATAAACAGAATTCTTTCTTAAAAAAAGAAAACTATATTTCTGTATATGTAACAGCTATAATTCTCATCAAAAACTCTACAGGAACAGCAAGTTTTCAAAAGTAAAACAATTTCCAAACTATTTGAAATAAACGTAGGAATAATTCAATGGCCAACACTTTCCAAACAAACCACAAAAATGCATAGTATGCATGAAGCTACCTGTTACAATCCGACGGCACTCATACTTTACAAATAATTCTGTGCCAATCTGAGCGCCTGTACTGTGCCCTCAAATGCTCTTGGAGAGGCTGGAATTCAGCAATATAAAAAGGGAGGTGGTGCTTCAGGAAGGGGTGGAACCAGAAACACCCCTGGTTTCTCACTGTCCTCCACGGACTCCTAGAAGTACCGTCTCCCCGCCCCTCCGCCCCTAGGATGACAGCGAGGTCACTATACTTACTCTTTCTTGAACAGTCCAGGGTCTTCTAGATGATCTGCACAAATGGCTCCTCTCCTCCTTCCTGGTGTCTGTCTGCCATTAGCATTGGAATGAACTTTGTGCTGAAAATCCGCATCTCCCCTCGACCTGGTGTTCTGGAAGTGAGCGAGAGGATGTCAGGCTTCAAGGAAGCAGTTCTCTAGGAAGGTCATTCACGTCCCATGTCAATTCTAACTAGAGTTCAGAGCAATTGATCAATCCAGTTTCATCTCCTGCCCTTCATTCTCTAGCCTGCTTCTGAACCATGCTGTTCAATTGTGATACACACACTTTGGTGACCCCGACTCCAAAACTCACTTAATACTCCCAAGGCCATCCCCAGTGATCTGCTTCCTCGGCAGGACTTTGTGTGGGTCTGCCCAGGGAGTAGAGCACCCTCAGACAATGTGGCTTTAGACTTCATCACATGTGGGGCCTTTTGTGTCACTTAAGATCTAAACTGGTAACCAGGCTAGATATGGTTCTAATGTGACAACATCACAAACCACGAGTCCCGGAGCCTAATCCATAATCCCACTTCCTAATGTTGAAGTCTCATGCTGAGTCCTTAACGTGGTTAGCTGCACAAGATATAAACCGAATCTTCACTGAATCCTCAACCCAAATAGGTAATTCAAGTGTGTCAATCCTAATGAATCTCCCGGAACTCAGTATTTCTGATGAATTTTGAGACAGGGTCTCACTGTGTCGACCAGGCTGGAGTACAGTGGCAGGATCAGGTCTCTCTGCAGCCCCAGTGTCACAGGCTCCAGCGATTCTCCCTCCTCAGCCTCCTGAGTAGTTGAGAATAGAGATACCTCCCACATCACCCAGCTAATTTGTGAATTTTTGTGGAGAGTAGATCTCGCCAAGTTGCCCAGATTTGAAGCTGGATCAAGCAATTCGGTTCCTGAGATTTCCTAAATAGACACAATATTCTGCCTTGACTTGGGGGGATGCGGACATACCTTCTCTCAGGCCAATGACCTCAGGCCTCCACGGTGCTATAGCTCTAGAAAAAGAGGGCATGATCTCGTGCCCATACCCAGTGCTCTGGGTCATAAGCCTGGATCTGCAAAAACAAACGCCCTTTGAGAAAATGGGGACCCCCCCAGGATACCCCTCCATCCCCTCATCCAGCCTCCAACCACCCAATTCCTCCCTACCTCCCCACACCCCACCCACCTCCTCCAGCTCCTCCGGGTAAACCCAAGCCCTGCAGTGCATGGAACAGAAGAACTGGAACCGAAGCTTCTGGAATAAGCGTCGCTGGGAGCGGTTCTTCCCATACAGGAAGTAGAAGATGGCTTGTTTGGGGCCCTGGTTGTCCTCCTCCATGTCATTGGCCAGGTAGCTGGGGGCAGAAATCAGACTGCTGCTCAGGGAAACCACCAGGAAAGACCTCTGGCTGAGGTCAGCTTCCCAGAGAGGAGGGCGGGGGACCTTAGGTCAGGACTGGCACCCACCCTGCAGAGAGCCATGCCTTCCTTAGGAGGGCCCTGCTGGACAGATGCCTGCTGAAGGGCGCCCCTCACACCTTCAGGATGGAGACAAAAAGCCAACTGGTGGCCAAGAGTGGTGGCTCAGGCCTGAAATTTCAGCACTTTGGGAGGCTGAAGCAGGTGGGTAACATGAGGCCAGGAGTTTGAGACCAACCTGTTGAACATGGCGAAACCCCATCTCTACTAAAAATACAAAAATCTCCTGGTGTGGTAGCAGACACCTTAGTCCTAGCTACTCCAGAGGCTGAGGCACAAGAATTACATGAACCCAGGAGGCTGAGGTTGTAGTAAGCCGAGATAGGTCCACTTAGAAGACAGAGCGAGATTCTCTCTCAATAAATAAATAAATAGGATGGGAGTGGTGGCTCATGCCTATAATCCCAGCAATTTGGGAGGCTGAGGCGGGTGGATCACCAGGTCAGGCGATTGAGACCATCCTGGTTAACACAGCGAAACACCGTCATTTGTACTACAAATACGAAACATTAGCTGGGCCTCGTGGCATGGGCATGTAGTCCCAACTACTCAGAAAGCTGAGGCAAGAGAATTGCTTGAACCCGGGGGCAGAGGTTGCAGTGAGCCAAGTTGGTGACATTGTACTCCAGCCTGGTTGATAGAGTGAGGCTCCATCTCAAAAAAAAAAAATAATATATATATATATATATATATAATTTAATAAATACATAAGTAATTGTCCAAGTGTGATGGCACAGCCCTATAGTCTGAGCTAATCAGGAGGCTGAGGTGGGAGGATCACTTGAGCCCAAGAAATGGAGGCTGTAGTGAGCTCTGATCTCACCACTGCACTCCAGCTTGGGGGACAGAGCGAGTCTCTGTCACAAAAAAAATAAAATAAATAAAATACGTTGATATTTTTCCAAGATCCTGCCTTCTGTAGGCATCTAGTCTACAGAAGAAATGGCACTAGAAGAAATCAGGGCAAAAAACCTCATCCCAATGTCACATTATAATAGGATGTCACTACTGTGCTATGGGCATACAGAGGTGGGAAGATAAGGGAAGGCATCACAGAGGCTGTGGGGTGAATTGATGTCAAGGAATGGGTGCTTCCCTTCAGAACCACATGTGTGCAGGACCCCAGACAGAAAACACCGATGCAAAGTCAAGTGGTGGGCATTTGGAAGGAGTGGTGAAACCAAGCCAGGAAACACCAGGATGGCAAGCCGGTTTGGCTGCAGAGAGATTGTAGAGAGGGTGGAATTGGCACTGTGGACCTGGCCTCGATTTCAAAAGAGCCTCGATTTCAAAGCTAAGGAAGCTGTTCAGGTGGGCAGTGGGAGGTCAGACCTGTGCTTTGGAGAGATGTTCTGGTTGCACTAGGAAGCCCCCTAGCTTGGGGAGAGGGTCCAGGAGACCCCAGCAGGGAACATTTGTCAGTGGATTGGAGTGAAGCGAGGGGGTCTCTGTCATGGGAACCTGGAGGAGGATGATGAACCATTGCATTTGGGGTTGATGTAGGAAGGAGAGAGACAGAAGAACCAGAAGTGGCTGTGGCTGGGGGAGGCGTCGTGTCTGCTTCTTTTCCTCTCCCCTTAGGAGGGGTGGATGGTTCCTTTGGTTTTATTCTTTTATTTTTAAACTGGCATTTGAGTTTGGTTTTGCTTTGAGAAAACATCTTGCTTTTTCACTGAGGCTAGAGTTCAGTGGCTTAATTAATCGTAGCATACTGCAACCTCTGCCTCCTTGGTTCAAGAGGTTCTCCTGCCTCAACCTCCTAAGTAGCTGGGATTACAGGTTCACACCAGCAGCCCCGGCTAATTTTTTTTTTTGTTTTTTGAGACATAGTCTTGCTCTGTCACCCAGGCTGGAGTGCAATGGCATAATCATGGCTCATTGCAAGCTTTGCCTCCCAGGTTCAAGCGATTCTCCTGCCTCAGCCTCCTGAGTAGCTGGGATTACAGGCACATACCTCCACACTTGGCGAATTTTTGTATTTTCAGTATAGGCAAGGTTTGACCATGTTGGCCAGGCTGGTCTTGAACTCCTAACTTCAGGTGATCTGCCTGCCTTGGCTTCCCAAAGTGCTGGGATTACAGGTGTGAGCTACCACACCTGGGCTGTTTGTTTTCAGAAGGAATAGTCTAAGAACGCCATTGTATAATCCTATCTTGTTTATACACAGAGTAAAGAGGACAAGTAGGTGAAAGAATAAATGAGAGGTTGGAATCCGACTTGCCCTGCTGTCCCAGGGTGTTGGATAGTGACGGATAGGAGGGAGCAAAGCACTCACAGAGCCAGGAAGAAATGAATGCGTTTGTACTGCCAGGAGAAGAGGCCGGCGCGGCTAAACGATGCTATGACCATGGCCAGCAGGTACTGATGGAGAGAAAGGAACACAGAGAGGGAGAGGTCACATCTTGGAAAAGGCAGATTGTGCAGATGGGGAAATGGGGGCAGGGGAGGGTTTGCACATCAGAGAAGGGACCTCAGAGTTGGGGTGACTGTGCTCATTGGGAAATAGTGAGGTGGAGGGGTATTAGAAGGTCGGATGCAAATCTGAGAAGCTGGAGGAAGGGATGTCGGTGATGCTCCCAGGATGGTGAGCTCCCATGGAACCTTTGCAGGGAGTGTGTCTAGGTTGGCTGGCGTCAGGAGGGTCTTGTGTGTGCGAGGCAGAGAAATGTCCCAAAGAGCTGAGAGTATAGGGGCCAGGAGCTTCAGGGCTGTGGCCAGACTGAGGCCCAGGACTCAGATCCCTAAGGACCCCTAGAAGAGGCAGGGGCCACTCACTCACTCTGCAAGAAACCAGCAGAGTCCCGAGGGAGATGCTGACAAATCATAAAAAGACCAAGAATAGGCCAGGCATGGTGGCTCAAGCCTGTAATCCCAGCATTTTGGGAGGCCGAGGCGGGTGGATCATGAGGTCAAGAGATTGAGACCATCCTGGTCAACATGGTGAAACCCCGTCTCTACTAAAAACACAAAAAAATTAGCTGGGCATGGTGGCACGTGCCTGTAATCCCAGCTACTCAGGAGGCTGAGGCAGGAGAATTGCCTGAACCCAGGAGGTGGAGGTTGCGGTGAGCCGAGATCGCGCCATTGCACTCCAGCCTGGGCAACAAGAGCGAAACTCCGTCTCAAAAAAAAAAAAAGACCAAGAATAGCTGGGAGTGGAGGCTCAAGCCTGTGACTCCAGTACTATGAAAGGCCGAGACAGGAGGATCACGTGAGCCCAAATTCGAGAACAACCTGGGCAACATAGCAAGACCCTCTTTGTCCAAAAATTACAAAAATTAGTCTAGCATGGTGGTGGCATGTGCCTGTAGTTCTAGTTACTCAGGAGGCTGAGGCAGGAGAATTGCTTGAACCCAGGAATTAGAGGCCACTGTATTTTATTTTAGAGAGCAGAGCTAGACTCTGTCTCAAAAAAAAAAAAAAAAAAAAAAAATAAAAAGCACACACAAAAAACCTGGGTTGGTGCCAAGACTCAAGACCGTGGGAGGTGGCTGGGCACAGTGGCTCACGACTGTATTAACAGCACTTTGGGAGGCCAAGGCGGGTGGATCACCTGCGGTCAGGTGTTCAAGACCAGTGTGGCCAATATGGCAAAACCGTCTCTACAAAAAACACTAATATGAGCCAGGCATGGTGGTGCACGCCTGCAATCCCAGCTACTAGGGAGGCTGAGGCAGGAGAATCGCTTGAACCCTGGAGTGGGAGGCTGCATTGAGCCGAGATCGGGACACTGCCCTCCAGCCTGGGCAACAGAGCAAAACTCTGTCTCAGAATAAAATAAGACTGTGGAGATTCAGGTGGGAGCTGGTGGAGGGAGAGGGGAGGGGAACTGTGGGTGTGGAAGCTGTGCCCTTCTCCAGGCTGTGTGTGGGAACAGGAACACAGTTTCGTGGAGAATGACCTTACCTTGTCAGATGCCCTCAGATATGTGTCCCAGGCCAGGAATCTTTTCACGACAGGATCCCCTGTGATTAGAGAGCAGATGTTAGTGTGAGAAGCAGAAAGGAGTTTCCATGGGAGAAACAGGGCAGCCAGGAGAACTGTGCCTCCCTGGGGAAAGTCTCAGGATGGTGGCCACGAGTCAGGTGGATGGGATAGGAGAGAATGACTTTCACTGGGCAAAGGAGAGAGTCTCCCACTCTGAGACTGCCCTTAGAAGAGGCCAAAGGAGGCACTGGGTGTGAGAATCTACCGGCTAGAGAGCTGGGAAGAAGCCAGGATGCCCTTTCCACAGACACGCAGGGACCCCTGCAGAGTCCTAAAGTCATTCCCATCGTTTCCTCCTGAGACAGTCACATCAGGGTGTAACCATGGCCTTGGTATCCCCCTCTAGGCATGGAGATAACTTAGGTTCAGAAAACTCAGCAAGAGACATTACATTTCTGAGGGCACAACTGAAACTGCTTTCTTTGTTTTTTGATTTTGTTTTTCTTTATTTTTTAATTTCATATGGCGTCTCGCTCTTTTGCTAAGGATGGAGTTCAGTGGTGTGATATTGGCTCACTGCAACCTCCCCCTCCGGGGTTCAAGTGATTCTCCTGTCTCAGCCTCCTGGATAGCTGGGATTACAGGAGTGTGCCACCACACCAGGCTGAGTTTTGTATTTTTAGTAGAGACGGGGTTTCGCTATGTTGGTCAGGCTGAACTCCTGACCTCCTCAAACGACTGACCTCAATAGATCCACCTGCCTCGGCCTCCCAAAATGCTGGCATCACAGACATGAACTACTGTACCTGGCCTCGGTTTTCCTTCTTTGACAGGGTTTTGCTCTGTCACCCAGGCTGGAGTGCAGTGGTGCAGTCATAGCTCACTGCAGCCTCAAAGCCCTGAGTTCAAGCGATCCTCTTGCCTCAGCCTTTCAACCTCCTGGGATCTCAGGCATGAGCCAGGCACCTGGCCTGAAACCAAGCTTTCTTACCCCAATCTCAGACCTTGATCAAGTCTAGCTGAATTGTCTATGGCCTCCTAAGTCCCTCATGAGTGATCACTTCTGAATCCTCCCACATGCAGAGCTAACCCACTGGGGGGCATATATTTCCCATGGGAAAAGTATGGTTATGGGAAGTTTTTTCTTTTTTGAAAGAACAGGATTGGAGGTGCTCTCTGGGGTGTCCTCCTACCAAGCAGCCTGTTGAAGGCCTGGTGTTGCTCAGGGAGCACGGTTGACACTTGCTGTCTCTTCATTTTCATCTTGAGCCCCTGAAGCGTCTCCAGCACCCAGGTCTCCTCAGGCTCAGGGGTATGCTCCTTCTCTGTCTCCTCCTCCAGCTCCTCTTCAGATTCATCTGACCACTCCCTCTTCCTTTTACGGCAAAGGAACCAAGGCGAACTGGGACCTTCCTAAGGAGATGAGTAAAGAAAGCAGGCCACCATGTAATGCTTCTGCAATTGATCACCTTAGACCCTGACCCAAAACCCCAAAGCACTCTCCATCCTCCCCGGCCCCACAGACTCTTGGCTTTTCCCTTGCTGAACCCCATGTGCCTCTCCTCCTCCTCCCCATTCTTCCATCTGTCTGTCCTCAGAATGCTTCCTCATTTCCTTCTCTGGTCCCTGGCTCTCTGATCCCACCTTTTTTTTTTTTTTTTTTTTTGAGACTGTCTTGCTTTGCCACCCAGGCTGGATTGCCCATTGTTGTGGTGCAATCTCAGCTCGCTACAACCTCCGTCTCCTGGGTTCCAGTGATTCTGCCTCAGCCTCCCAAGTAGCTGGGATTACAGGTGCCCACCATAATGCCTGGCTCTATTTTGTACTTTTAGTAGAGACGGGGTTTTACCATGTTGGCCAGGCTGGTCTCATACTCCTGGCCTCAAGTGATCCTCCTGCCTTGGCCTCCCAAAGTCCTGGGGTTACAGGTGTGAGCCACTGCACCCGGCCCTAGTCCCTCCTTTCTTCCCCCACATATTCCCTCACATGTTCCTTCCCGACTTCTGGGTCTTTCTTTCTTTCTCTCTTTCTTCCTTTCTTCTTCTTCTTCTTCTTTTCTTTTTTTTTTTTTGGAGACAGGGTCCCACTCTCTCAACTAGACTGGAATGCAGAGACGCAATCTCAGTTCACCATAACCTCCACTTCCCAGGCTCAAGAATTCTCCTGCCTCAGCCTTCCAAGTAGCTAGGATTACAGGCATGCACCGCTACTGCCTGGGTAATTTTTGTTATTTTAGTAGAGACAGGGTTTCACCGTTTTGGCAGACTCATCTCGAACTCTTGACCTCAGGTGATCCAACTGCCATGACCTCCCAAAATGCTGGGATTACAGACATAAGCCACCGTGCCTGGCCCCCTCTCTTCTTCTTGGTCAATCCTCTCCCATCTCTCCTTCCTCCAGTCCCCTCGCCTGATGGTCCTGGCACTTCATTGTCCACCACCTCCGGGAGGAGTACCCTAAGGTGCTAGGCTGGGGGGCTCCTCTCCTCAACCTGGGGCTGAGGTTGTCAGCTGGCCATGATCTCTCCCAAGTTCTGTTCCCTCCCATGAAACCTGGTCCCTGTTCTGTCCAAAGCCTTCATCCAGACTGTACTAGGACCCAGAGGAGTGCATTCTCTAGTCTCAAGGCTGGGGAGAAGTCAGGCGTGGAGAACAGCTCTGAGAAGATGCTGTTGTCCACCTGAGCTCCCAAGCACCCACGGAGTTCAGTCCTTCCAATCAGGAAGGTTGGAATTGCAGATGTCTTTGGTCATTCCAACCTGGCCAACAGTTTGAAGGAAAACATAGAGGTGAGGCACAGTGGCTCACATCTGTCATCCCAGCACTTTGGGAAGCCGAGGCAGGCAGATCATGAGGTCAGGAGTTGGAGACCATCCTGGCTAACACAGTGAAACCTCATCTCTAGTAAAAATACAAAAAATTAGCCAGGCATGGTGGCAGACGCCTGTAATCCCAGCTACTCAAGAGGTTGAGGCAGGAGAATTGCTTGAACCTGGGAGGCAGAGGTTGCAGGGAGCCAAGATCACGCCATTGCACTCCAGCTGGGGTGACAGTGTGAGACTCCACCTCAAAATAAATAAAAATATAAAAGGAGGTAATGCGGAATATGTTCTTGGAAACTGGAGAAAAGAGGACCTATTATGTAGTCTCAGAAAGCTTAGCGGTAGTATGTCTTTTAGTTATATGCAAAGCCAAACTCATAAATGATAATCTTGGATATTTAACTGAGAAGATTTCCAAGCCAAGTATTGAAAGTGAGTCCTGGTTTCTTCTTGCTGCTTATGGTAAAATGTAAGAGGAGGCCAGACGCAGGGCCTCAGCCCTGTAATCTCAGCACTTTGGGAGGCCGAGGCAGACGGATCATGAGGTTAAGAGATCGAGACCATCCTGGCAAACATGGTGAAACTTCGTCTTTACTAAAAACACAAAAATTAGTGCTCACTTCGGCAGCACATATACTAAAATTGGAACAATACAGAGAAGATTAGCATGGCCCCTGCGCAAGGATGACACGCAAATTCGTGAAGCGCTCCATATTTTTTATAGACCAATGGAACAGAACAGAGGCATTGGAGGCAACACAACATATCTACAACCATACAATCTTTGATAAACCTGACAAAAACAAGCAATGGGGAAAGGATTCCCTGTTTAATAAATTGTGTTGGGAAAAGTGGCTAGCTATGTGCAGAAAGCAGAAACTGGACCCCTTCCTGACACCTTACACTAAAATTAACTCCAGATGGATTAAAGACTTAAACATAAGACCTAACACCATAAAAACCCTAGAAGAAAATCTAGGCAAAACCATTCAGGACATAGGAGTAGGCAAGGACTTCATGACCAAAACACCAAAAGCATTGGGAACAAAAGCCAAAATAGACAAATGGGACTTAATCAAACTCCACAGCTTCTGCACGGCAAAAGAAACAGTCATTAGAGTGAATCGGCAACCAACAGAATGGGAAAAAATTTTTGTAGTATCTACCCATCTGACAAAGGGCTGATATCCAGAATTTACAAAGAACTAAAACAGATTTACAAGAAAAAAACAAACAAGCCCATTCAAAAGTGGGCAAAGGATATGAACAGATACTTTTCAAAAGAAGACATACATGAGGCCAACAAACATATTAAAAAATGCTCATTATCACTGGACATTAGAGAAATGCAAATCAAAACTACATTGAGATACCATCTCATGCCAGTTAGAACGGCCATCATTAAAAAATCTGGAGACAACAGATGCTGGAGAGGATGTGGAGAAATAGGAACACTTTTACACTGCTGGTGGGAGTGTAAATTAGTTCAACCATTGTGGAAGACAGTGTGGCGATTCCTCAAGGACCTAGAAATAGAAATTCCATTTGACCCAGCAATCCCATTACTGGGTATATATCCAAAGGATTATAAATCGTTCTACTATAAGGACACATGCACACGAATGTTCACTGCAGCACTGTTTACAATAGCAAAGACCTGGAATCAACCCAAATGCCCATCGATGATAGACTGGACAGGGAAAATGTGGCACATATACACCATGGAATATTATGCAGCCATCAAAAACGATGAGTTCGTGTCCTTTGTAGGGACATGGATGAACCTGGAGAACATCATTCTCAGCAAACTGACACAAGAACAGAAAATGAAATACCGTATGTTCTCACTCATAGGTGGGTGTTGAACAATGAGAACACATGGACACAGGGAGGGGAGCACTACACACTGGGGTCTGTTGGGGGGAATAGGGGAGGGACAGTGGCGGGTGGGGAGATGGGGAGAGATAGCATGGGGAGAAATGCCAGATATAGCTGAAGGGGAGGAAGGCAGAAAATCACACTGCCACATATGTACCTATGCAGCTATCTTGCATGTTCTTCACATGTACCCCAAAACCTAAAATGCAATAAAAAAAACACAAAAATTAGCTGGGCATTGTGGTACGCGCCTGTAATCACAGCCACTCAGGAAGCTGAGGCAGGAGAATTGCTTGAAGCCAGGAGCAGGAGGTTGCAGTGAGCCGAGATCATGCCTCTGTACTCCAGCCTGGCGACAGAGCAAGACTCCATCTCAAAAAAAGTAAGAGGAAAAAGATAAATTGGCCAGGCATGGTGGCTCATGCTTATAATCCCCGCACTTTGGGAGGCTGAGCTGGGAGGAATTCAGGAGTTCAAGGCCAGCCTGGGCAAAATAGTGAGACCCCCATCTCTACAAAAAATACAAAAATTAGCCAGGTTTGATGGCACATGTCTGTGATGCCAGTTGCTTGGGAGGCTGAGGCAAGAGGATTGCTTGAACCCTGGAGGTGAAGGTTGCAGTGAGCTGTGACCATGCCACTGAACTACAATAAAATAAAAGGGATAAAGTATTGTGACCAAATAAAATGCAAGCTTGGTTTAATATTTCAAAATAAATCAAGGTAGTTCACCATATATGTTAGTTTTCTGGGGGTGCCATAAAAAAGTATCTCAAGGGGCCAGGCATGGTGGCTCACGCCTGTAATCCCAGCACTTTGGGAGGCTGAACCAGGCAGATCACTTGAATTCACAAGTTCAAGACCAGCCTGGGAAACAATGGCTAAACCCTGTCTCTACAAAACATAATACAAAAATTATTTCTTAAAAAATATTACAAACTTGGTGGCTTGAAACAACAAAATGTGTTGTCTCAGATGCTGGAGCCTGGAAGTCTGAAACCAAGATGCTGGGCCACGCTATCGCTGAAACTCGTAGAAGAGAATTCTTTCTTGCTTCTTCCAGCTTCTGGTGTGTGCCTCCTAGGGGTTCCTGATCTGTGAACACATCACTCCAATTTCTGCCCCTGTCATCACATAGCCACCTTCTCCTTGTATGTCCGTCTTCACAAGGCACTTTCTTTTTCTTTTTTCCTTTTTTATTTTTGAAACAAGGTCCCCATCCTTCACCCAGGCTGGAGTGTAGTGGCATGATCATGGCTCACTGCAACCTCCAGGACCTGCTGGGCTCAAGGCATCCTCCTGCCCCAGCCTCTCATGTAACTGGGACCACAGTTGCACACCACCATACCCAGCTTACCTTTTTATTCATCTTATGTATTTATTTGTTTATTTATCTATTTATTTTGAGATGGAGTCTCGCTCTGTTGCTCAGACTGTAGTGCTGTGGCATGAACTCAGTTCACTGCAACCTCTGCCTCCCGGGTTCAAGTGATTCTCCTGCCTCAGCCTCCCAAGTAGCTGGGACTACAGGCATGTCACCACGCCTGGCTAATTTTTCTATTTTTAGTAGTGACGTGGGTTTCTCCATGTTGGCCAGGCAGGCTAGTCTCCACCTCCTGACTTCAAGCAATCCACCCGCCTCGGCTTCTTAAAGTGCTGGGATTCCAGGCAGAAGCCACAGCACCTGATCTGCTTTTTTATTTTCTGTAGACAAGAGTCTTATTATGTTGCCTAGGCTGGTCTTGAACTCCTGTGCTCAAATGATCCTCCTGTCTTGACCTACCAAAGTGTTGGGATCACGGACATGAGCCATTGTCCCCAACCACTGAATACTTTCAATATTTGAATTGAAATACTGAATGCGGCTGAGCATGGTGACTCACGCCTGTAACCCTAGCACTTTCGGAGGCCAATGTGGGCAGATCACTTGAAATAAGCAGTTAGAGACCAGTCTGGCTAACATGGGTAACACTGTCTTTACTAAAAATACAAAAAATTAGCTGGGTGTGGTGGTGGGCTCCTGTAATCCCAGCTATTTGGGAGGCTGAGGCAAGAGAATCACTCGAACCCAGGAGGCGGATGTTGCAGTGAGCTGAGATCACTCCACTGCACTCCAGCCTGGGCCACAGAGCAAGACTCCATCTCAAAAAAAAAAAAAGAGAAAAGAAAAAGCAAGTAAATACTGAGTGCTTGGGAACACAGCAGATATACAGCGGCTTATCATGCATACTCTACATCATATTGCCTAGTTCACACACAGTCGTGTTGTTATGGAAACACGTTTTTCCTCCAGGGCTCCTGGCTCATAACTCCATGGCCCTTACAGTCTTTTGTGATGATGTTTGCTGTGTGAGGCCTCGGGCAGCCTCTGACCTTCTCCTGGTCTCCTTTCACCTGCCCCAAGGCAGGACTCTAATCTTCTCCCACCTTTCTGACTATGGGCCTTAAGGCTCTTCCCAGAGGGGAAGGAATGCTGACTTCATGAAGCCTCCAGAAAAAGCCAAGAGGACAGGTCGTGGAGCTTCTGGATGCAGAATGCAGGATGGTTTCTGGAAAGCGGCACGCAGAGGGGTATGGAAGCTCCACACCCTGCCTCAGACCTAGCCCTAGTCAGCTCTTCATCCATATCTTTTGCAATATTCTTTTTATTTATTTATTTTTTTGAGACAGAGTCTCGCTCTGTGGTCTAGGCTGGAGTATAGTGGCGCGATCTTGGCTCACTTCAACCTCCGCCTCCCGGGTTGAAGTGACTCTCCTGCTTCAGCCTCCTCAGGAGCTGAATTACAGGCATGTGCCACTATGCCAGGCTAATTTTTGTATTTTTAGTAGAGATGGGGTTTTGCCATGTTGGCCAGGCTGGTCTCAAGCTCCTGATCTCAAGTGATCCATCCACTTTGGCCTCCCAAAGTGCTGAGATTATAGGTGTGAGCCACTGTGCCTGGCCCTTTTTTCATTTCTTTCTTTCAATTTTTTTTTTTTTTTTTTGAGACAGAGTTTCACTCTTGTTGCCCAGTGGTGTGATCTCAGCTCACTGCAACCTCCACCTCCCAAATTCAAGTGATTATCCTGGCTCAGCCTTCCCAGTAGCTGGGATTACAGGAACCCACCACCACACCCATCTAATTTTTTGTATTTTTAGTAGAGACAGAGTTTCACTATGTTGCCCAGGCTGGTCTTGAACTCCTGACCTCAAGTGATCCGCCCACCTCAGCCTCCCAAAGTGCTGGGATTACAGGTGTGAGCCAACACACCTGGCACTTTTGCAATATCCTTTC